ACACACTGTGTATTGTGTTTCGGCACTACCTTGTTCTCTATAGCTGATGTAACGTGAATCACTCCTGTGTGGGATCAATAAAGTTCTTATCTTAGCCATCTGAGAAGATCAAATACATTGTTTTTGGTGCCTAACTGTTTCCCAAGTATATTAGTGTGTGTGTGAATGAATAAATGAGAGGCATTAATGTAAATTTCTTTATAGAAAGGCGCTTTATGAAATTAAGTCGATTTACTTGTATTAGTTTACAGCGCAGCCTTGCCACATCCAATATGATGGCGACGTTGACGTACGGCTCAGCGCTCGATACGGCGTCTACGTATATATGTCTATGGTTTTAACCATACCTTCGATCTGAAATTGATAACCTGACAGTCTTTCCACAGAATCCCTTGCTATCGGATCATTAATTGATTACTTTTGATTTCTTTTTACTCAATTACACACCTCTCTGCAACAGTTACTATACTAGATGTTTATCAGATAGTGCTGTCGCAAAATTTAAGGAAATGATTCCTTCATCGTTAAATTTAACGATGAAGGAATCATCAATTTCGCTCTGTATTGTCTGTTCTGTCTATATTGTTCTGTTTATTAGATATAATTTTATTATCCAAATAATAATAAAAACCTCCCTATTGTCAGCCAATAATCTCATGGCCTGATACAAATTGTGCATCCCTAACACCACGGTCCTATTGCAAGCCTTGCCACTCCTGAAAAACACATTTTTATCTTCCTGTTTGTGCATCCCAGCTCCTGTAGCAGCTCTTCCTTTCTGCTCCCCTGGCCACTCCACTCCACTCCACTCCACTCCACTCCACTCCACTCCACTCCACACCTCTTGCTTTGCTGTGTCTTGTTTGTGTCATAGAATGGTTGAGGACAGACTAGTTGTTAAGAAACATTCTGAGCTATATGACCCACGATCCTGTCATTATAAAGACTATGGCAAAACAGATATTTTCTGGTGAGCCAAAGTTCTAGAAATCAGCTCTTCAGGTGAAGAATCAGGTTTCATTAATGGCTGTCCATACATGGTTTCAAGCTAATGCAAGTAAAAGCAGTACATATCTTTTATAACAGTAGTAATAATTGTGTGTGGTCATCTGTTGACACACTGCAGTGTGACACTTCCTATCGGTGTGAGGGGCGGCACTTGATGCGCTTACAGTGACAGCAGTGCGTTTTCAGCCTAATTTTAAAAAGGATGTGTCAGGTTTGTAGCTCTTGAAGTTAGGTGAAACAATCCACAGATTCAGTGGTAGGGGACACATTTGTCTTATTTCACTGTGTGTTTATTGGTAGCTATTGTTTGGAATGCAACGAGTAGGCAGCTTGAAATGCAGGTTTAACCTAAGAATTTACTGTGGCAACAGATCAACTGACCTTCTTTTCAATCCCACTGAAGAACTGGAACATGGTTATGTTAGCTGGAGGCTTGGACATGCCCAGTGCCATGCAGATGCCCTTCAGCTCCTGGAACACGGGGCTGCCTGACTCCTGGCTCTTCTTTTCAGGCTTATTGACCAGGATCATCCTCGACGCCTCCAACTCAGACACCAGAAAGGCTGAGAGAAAAATTGTACTGGTTTCATTTAAAGCAATTTCAATACTATCTCAAGTTAAATAAGACAAACTCAAAGTGAAAAATCTTGCTGAACAAGTTGCCTTGGCACAAAAGAATAACAAACTAGAATTAATACCCTGTGGTTCCATGCCTCCGCAAACCTGTTAAGTTTCTCTTACATCCATGTCTTTCACACATATCTTCCCCCCGGCCACACAGAAGAGATATACAATCAGCACAGTTACAAGGCAGACGCCTAAGATTATGTTACTAATTCAGTATCTGACCAAATGTCTCTCCCTATGTTTCTGAGATATGATGACCAGAAAAGTGTTTTTGCCACAGTACAGATGACCTTTGACATTTTGAATATAAAAAGTCATCAGTAACCGAAATTTGTGTGATTTTTTTTATGATCAGTGTAAGAATTCTTGAGTCCTTATGGCAAAAACATGTTTTGGGAGGTCACAGTGACCTTCAACCACCAAATTCTAATTTGTTCATTCTTGACTCCAAGTGGACATCTGTGCCACATTTGAGGAAATTCCCTCAAGGCCTTCCTGAGTTATAGTGTTCACGAGAATTAGATGAATGCATGGTCAAAGTGACTTGACATTTGGTCAACAAAAACTAATCAGTTCATTGTTTAGTCCAAGTGGACATTTGTGCCAAAGAAATTCCCTTAAGGTGTTCCTGCAATACTGTGTTCATGAGAATGGGACAGATGTATAATGGACAGACAACTTAAAATCATAAATGCTTCCTGTCACGGCTATTGCCGGTGAAGAGGTACAAAACAGAAATTGAATTAAGGGTTTTGAATTTCAGCTGTGTTCATTAAGGCATACAGAAAATCAGGTCAGGTGTCTGCAGTCTGAGCAGTTCCATGGAAGCTGAGTTTGGGGTTTCAAAGAGTTAGTTCAGATTCACAAAATAACAGAAAACTAACAGACTGAGGCAATCATAGCCAGCAACTCCTGTGCTCTGTGTGAGGCAAAAATTTTTTTGTGGCTTTTAGAAGAAATCATTAATGGATATAACAGCTTCAGTTCTCTATCAGAAAGGGCTGCCTGACAACAAGGTAACACAGTAGAAATATTTTACATACACCATAGATACATACACCATTTTTTAGTCTAAAATGTGTTTTACTGCTACCTCCCTCCAGAGCAGCACATTGCATAGCTTCTGTGCAGATACTGCAGACTGCTTCTCCAAACTGAGGGTGTGTCGACTGCCATCTACTGTCGGTATTAATGAAGCACTCAAGTATTCCAACACTGCTCTATAGTACTCAAATACTGCTGAATCAGAGAACGCCAAAAGCATCACCAGGAAAGTGAAGCACTGGTATACTTGAATAGAACAGTGCTCTAGGGGGCCTGCCTCCAACGCTGTATCTGGGTCTCTTCATACAATTTTTCAAATTCTAAAGGCAAATACAGTAACACTCATTTACAGACATATTGATGCTACACCCTCACAGCTCTGCCCGCTGTAGACTGTTTACATAGTGCTACGTCACATTTCATTGCTCTAATTGGTTGTCGGTCTGTCCAATTGTATCTGGAAACATTTTGGTCTATGACTGTTGATAAGATTATTTGGAAATTGACAATGGACTTAAAGGTTCCAGATTCACGAACATCTGCAATTTAGTCTGGTGATGTCGGGCTCGTAATTAGAGCATAGCTCCATCCAGCTTCCACCAGAGCAGAGCAGAGCTTTAATCAGCCAGAACACCTGTAAGCACCTGTGTGGCTGTGCAGAGCCTTACATATGACTGCATGTATATGACTGAGCAACATTTTATCACAGCTGCGTGTGGTAAAACAGTTCACATAAAGTGGAACAGACTTTAACCCAAGGTTGAAGCAATACTGCTATTTTTCATTATATAATTTCAGGTTGCTTTTTAAAATGAGATGTTTAAAGAGTTGTGATCATACTGAGGAGCAGCAGACAGTCTGTCCGTTTGAGGAACCTCTGGGTAATGTCTCCACTGGTGAGGACTGAGTACGGACAAGAAAGCTCTGACAGCAGGCCGCTCATCTCCAGCTGGAAGCCCTCTGCCTCACTCGGACCTGGGAGGGGTATAACGACACACACACCAAACAATTAAATCTCACACATACCCAGTCCAATCAAAAAGACAGTTACAGTAGTTGTGTTAACAACAACCTGGCAGATGTCAAACAGAAACTCACTGCTAAATTTGTGACAGCAATGAGTGTGTTAACATGGATGTTACTAACCTGTTCATGATTGGGTTTTTAGAGTGCCCTGTTTATGAGTCTTACCATGTAAACACCAAATCCTGTTTTCAGAAACCTGGATAAGACCTTATCCAATTTATTAGAAACCCAAATGCTAGCTGGAGAACTCCAAAAGAAACCAGGACACTGTTACATGTTTACACCTTCTCCCATTTACATTCACATCCGGAGTGATAAAGAAACAGAGTTTTGCCTTTCAGTAATGAAAGAGGCTGCAGAGCTTTATCCACCTACGCGGTGACAGCAACAGTCTAGCCCTGGTGTGGGGGACAGTGTTAGAAGAGTAGAGCAGCTGTTTTCAGGAATAACGTTACGCTAGCTCAGTATGAACTGTGTGTGGTTGAGACAGAAAGACACAGTCAAGGCTGTAACTTCAAAATTCTGTAACCCTGTAGGCATTTTTGAGGAAAAGTCGGCATACTACATTTTTTGAAAGTTCAATATGTCCCAAACAAGAATTCATCATATGCCAGTGAAATAAGGTTCTCAGTTTTTTATAATTCCCCTGCCAAAATGTTATGTTTTAGGCGAAATTTGCATGTGTATGTCTACCTGTCTGTGTGTGAGCAGGGACACTACTGTGCACATTTTCATACATTTTTGTGGATGGATGTAACATGGGCCTAGCAGGCATAAATACTGGATGCATGTGTTTAGCTTAATAATTCAAATCTACAGTTAACATTAACTGATTGGATATTTGATGTGTTTGGCATCCTAAAGTAAATGTCTTTAAAAAGTAAGATGGTCTAGTATTTTTGTTGCAATGGTGGTTGTGTCACATGTTTCTTTAGATAGATTTTTTATCAAACAGATCATGATCCATTTATGACAATGACTTAAATTGCTATCAAACAATTTCATCGATATATCTCAAGTTCAATAAACCGAATTATTTTTAGTAGCATTATACAATCTGTAATAAAAACTAAACTGAGATTAGCTATATTTGCAATATAAAGTATGCCAAACGCATAATCTATCCCTGTTTTGTCCTTTCAGTTAAAATCCCCTCACTTAAGACTGTGGATAAGGAACAAGCTGAGGGAGGGAGACAAGGAAGGAAGGAAGGAAAGGTGTGAGGATGACAGATAATTCTTTCGAAATGTGTGGAATAGTTTGAATTACATTGTAGAAAATAATCTCTTCAAAATACTGTAGTGTACCCACTTTAGATCACCTATCACAAAAAGTGTAAGTCAACATTCAATCATCAAATAGGAAAACTATAAATAAGCTATATCATTTTAAAGCGAGTACATTTAATTTGTGTTTCAGGGGGACCATAAAGGCCTGATCATGGAAGCTGCTGTAAGTCTCAAGAAGACTGGCCGTTCCCCAGATTTAGGAGAATGTCTCATCTGTCAAGAGAGTACAAGTGATAAGTTAATAAAGGGACCTGAGGCATTAAAATCTGCTTCAGAGACGAGACACAAACTGTGCGACCGTGGCAACAGAACTGTAATTGATTGAATCAAGGAAATATCATCAACAGATGTTGATCAGCTGTGGTGGCACAAGTCATGTTATTCATCATTCAAAAGTTAAGATAAAATTGGAAGATTACAAGAGAAAATTCAGACATCCAGACAACAAAGCTGTGAACAAAAAACATCAACTACTATGCTGCGGAGCTCAACAAAATCTGTCAATTGGGATCCCTGCATTTTCTGCCAAGACACAAGAGGGAAAGAATTAGTATCATTTGTCATTACATTTAAGATGAGTGATGAGATACTGGAGTTGTCCAAGTACAACCAAGAGGCCCATGTGCGACTAGCAGGTATTAGTGACCTTATCACAGCAGAAGGGAAATACCACCCAAACTGCTACAAGAAGTTCAAGCGAAATGCCACAAAGACAAAAGAAAGTTCTGAAAAAACAGATCTGGCAATGGAATGACTTGTTATTGAGATGAGGACATCAGCAAAGAAGGAACATGTACTTGAACTGTCTGAGGTTTGGAACAGATACCGTGAATTAGCACAAAAGGCCAATGTTGAAGTTCCACCATCATTTAGAAGCAGGAGATCTACATTCAAAGAAAAACTTCAAGTATATGCACAGGATTCATATGACTTCAACGCTGTACCTAACAAAAATGTGTTGCTTGTTCCCAAGAAATTTGTACATGTGCCATTTTCAGATGTCATGTTAGAGGAAGATGAGTCTTGTGCAATCCCTATATATCAGTCTGATGAGGGATTCAGAGCGATGGTTCATGTAGCTCTGAAATTAAGAGAAGACATACTGGCACACCCCAAGTACACTGGATTAGCTGTCAGTGAAGAAGAAATGATAGCATGTGTTCCTGAAAGTGTTTTCATGTTCATCTCCTTGATGTTTGGTGGCCTCAGTCTGTTGGAACAAATTCCAAATGATGAAGAAGACATCACATTGGAGAGGGAGGAAGCTTATACTCAGACAAGAGTTCTAAGCTTGGTCGAAGAGCTTGTCTACAACGTGACAGGAGGGAAACATTGGACACCCAAGCATATGGGGCTAGCAAGTACATTGCACCAAGCAACGCGATCAAAGGAACTGATGAAACTGTTTCACAATGCAGGACACATCATCAGCTACCACAGCTTGCTGCAGCTTCACACCGCTATGGCAGAGAAAACACTACAAGCCATGGATCCAGAAACTGGAGCAGTGACTCCACCTAACTTTGTGTATGGAAGATTTACACATTATACATGACATAAATGATTCAACACTTGATGGCAAGAACACCTTCCATGCAACACAGATGGCAGGCTGGCAACGTGGTCCAGAAGGCAACATGATGATTAAGGATTTGAAGCCATCAAAAAAGGAAAGCCTTCAGGTTCCTATGGTAATGGAGATGCTTGTTCCAGCCAGAGTTACAGAAGGAAAGGCCTGTCCAAAATCCACAGAAAATACCAAGAAGGAGTGGTTCAAAAACTCAAATGAGAATGGATCAACTGTAAAATCTACCGCCAAAGACATGGCATTCTTTTTCAAACGTCAGGATCAAGGACACATGAAGGAAGGCTGGACAAACTTCAATCGTAATCACAGTGAAATGTCACCTGAAATGACAAGCATTGGTTATATGCCCATTATCCAAGCACCTGCCCATGACCTAGATACACTGAATACAGTTGTCCTGAGATGCAAACACGTGGCAAGAAAACTTGGGCAGCATTATGTTGTTATCACAGTGGATGAGGCATTGTTCTGTAAGTTGATGAAGCTGAAGTGGGCAAATGCTGACTACATGGACTGCCTCGTCAGATTGGGGGCCTTCATACTGCCATGAAATTCATGTCAGTCATAGGCAACCACGTCCAATCATCTGGACTTTTGGAAGCATGGGTTGAGGGTAGGGGTGTGCGATATGGACAAAAAAAAATATCTCGGTATTTTGGGGGATTTTTAAGATAACGATAATTAGACAATATTCTTTTAAATATGTGTTTTTAACAGCCTGAGTTATAGCTCATTAATTGTTTCTCATGGATGATATTAATGGAAAAATGTTCTCAACATTTCTTGCTGCTTTTTTACCTGCTCTCTCTGTTTGACTCTGGTGACGGCCTTTTGTAGCGTCAATTCCGGGTCCATTTGCAACTGTTCAGATAGGCGTTTGTCCCGCAGACTCACCACAAGCCTGTCCCTCACCATCTCATCATTTAGAGCCCCATAACCGCAGTGCTACGCCAGGCAGTGCAGCACCGTAATGAAACTGTTGGCCGTCTCGCCCGTTTCTTGAAGCCGCTGATTAAACGTTACTCTCTCAAAGATCACATTCCTGCGATTCTCTTCTGCTTGCGTCTCCAATCCAGAAGCAATGCGGAATCTGTCAAAGCGTTTAATCCATTTAGGCCAGTCTTCAGCCTTGAAGGTGAACTTTTCCGGCGGGGAGACTTGAAACTGTGCCATGTTGCCACTTCGTTCAGCTAACTGTGGCTAGGCTAGGTAGCTTCGTAGACGGTCTTCCGGTACTGCAACTTTAGCCTGACAGGCTGGGACCTATCACTACAGTTGACCCACGTCTTCCGAAGCTGCTGGAGCATCCGTGGGCGGTGTTGCTATGTTGTCTCGCTAATGTTTGTTTAGCAGCAGGCTGACCTGCCGGGAAGGTGCCAGTGAGAGATCATGTGACCACGTAGGCGTACTGCGGCATGCTGCTGCAGGTTTCGGTTTCAACGTGTGTTTTCAGTTGTTTTTATTAAGTCATTTGCATACTCGATAACGTAAATTTGCACATCGTTAAAACAACAATGACGATATTATCGTTAAAGATATATATCGCCCACCCCTAGTTGAGGGCAACCTACTTGGGTGCTGTGGCCGTGCTGCCTCCGGGTTTTTTCGGACCTAATTGTATTGTGGAGTTTTGCACAGCAGCGACCGAAACTTTGCTCTCAAACCACAAAAAAATGTGATGGCACAACAGTCTCCTTCAGTACATTATTCTATGCTTTCTTTTGATTTTCACATTGGCTAGTCATCCTGTTTAATTTGTCCTCTGATTAAATCGGAACCACTGAAACAAGTTGTAGGAAGCCTCTGCAAGTAATTGGTTGCTGGCAGACACTCTGTGCTGCAATAAAATGGTTAATCAGCAGTGCCGTGCACTGTAGAGCCGATGCGCTGCTGGTTCTGCCGGCCTGAATAGAATATAAAGTCTATAGCCTTACTGTTGTGTACAGCATTAATAGACTGAGCTGAGTAGTGATGCGCGGGTCAACCCGTAACCCGCGGGACCCGCAAATGGACCTGCGGGTCGGGCAGCAGTGATCGTCTGTTAAATCGGTCTGTAAATGGTATTTTGACAT